CGGGCGGTGGTGGCGCATGCCTTTAATCCCAGCACTCGGGAGGCAGAGCCAGGCGGATCTCTGTGAGTTCGAGGCCAGCCTGGACTACCAAGTGAGTTCCAGGACAGGCGCAAAGCTACACAGAGAAACCCTGTTTCGAAAAACCAAAAAAAAAAAATGGCCACTGATAATTCAAGAAAATAACCACCATCCAGTTCATAAAGAGTTATGTACACACACTAGCTGAGCTGATAGCCAAGGAATGGCAGCTAATGAATGTGTGTTTTCTCAAGACTTAGCAGAAGGTAGTTGTTACTGGTTAAAGTACAATTTTACGCTTTGATGAGAGGTATTTTTCACATTAAAGTTTGGCTAAATTCAGCTTCCTGATATGGAACTTAAGACCTGAAATTCAAATGTACTGAGCGACTCAAATCCAGTGTGAACTGTAAATAAATAGTATTTGATTTATTCCAGGTCAAACCTTTTGCTGCACAAAGAAATTGAAGGGGAGAGGTATATATGTTTACTTCAACTAAAAGGTAATCAGAGGGTAATAATTTGTTGATTTTTATAATTGTATTTTTCTATAGAAAACATGTAAATAGAGACAAATATAGGTTATGAATAAAATGTGTGTGCATAAGAATTTAAGGGCTCCTCTTTCTTTCTGCACTCTCCTTCCGTTCTCTTCCCTCTTCGTGGTTTCTCTCTCTCTCTCTCTCTCTCTCTCTCTCTCTCTCTCTCTCTCTCCCCCTCCCAATAAAGCTCTAAAAAGGTAAAAAAAAAAAAAAAAAAAAAAGAATTTAAGGTATTTACCTAACTGTGGGCCAGCAAGATGGGTCAGAGGACGAAGTCACTTGCTGCCAAGGCTGAACACCTGCCTTCAGCCTGAGGAGCCCACAGGTAGGAGAGAAATCACTCTGCAAGCTGTCTTCTGACCTTCACTTGTCACGGCAACCCTTACACTGCCCTCTGCCACACACACAAAGTAGGTAAATAAATAAACATACTGCTCCCCCCACACACACACATAAATGTTTACCTATGAAGCCCTCACTGAACTTCAGTTTCCCTAGATTTGGAGAAGAGGATGATGGGACAGTGTCTGGGAATAGCCTTTCCACACATGAGAGATGTGGAGATTCTCAAATGTCCCTAGCATCCCTGTCACGAGACCACTGTCTACCTTCTGACCAAGAAGTCTGTCTCACCTTTATCTTGATTTCTCAGGAACAGCCAAAAGGCAGAAATTAGCTATGGGGTGAGGGATGCTACATAGAAAGCTTTATCTGAGGGGTGGTCTGAGAATAAGAAAGTTTCTCAGCCTCTGAGTCACTGTCCACTGAAGTCCGGCATCCCAGACCTATCCTCCTAGCCTATGGGAACAGACAGACCCACCTCTGACTCTCAGCCAGTTCACTAAGGCTAACCCAGAGACCAGCATGACGGGTCCTGACTAATGTCCAGGCATTTCTGAGTGTGAGAAAAGGTATAGTCTTGATTTGGTTCACGGGTCAGAGCAGCAGCTGCCACGTGTGCATGTCCTTGGAGTGAACTCAGAGTGTCTAATGTCATCCCCACAGCTGTGAAGAGGTATTGGTCCTACCCTACCTTTTAGACAAAGAGTCCCCCAGCCTAGCATTTACACACAGGTCTGATGAATGTGCTAAGCGCTCTGTCCCTCATTCTGTCCTTGTATTGTTACTTAGAATTGTACAAAATTGTATAGAAATCAAGCCATAGAGTGTTAAATCTCTCAGAACGACTAATAAGAAGCAGAAATTTTAGCCCTTGTGGGACATGTGGGCCAGTCCCATAAGCAGCTGTTTAACCTGGACCCACGAGGCAGAGTCACGAGAATGGATACCCTTCAGGTTGCTCCATGGCATGGTCAGCTCCTGGGGCCTCACCTCGGCAGGGAGGGAGATTTAACCCTTCTAGTCACCCAGAAAAAAATCCACGGGGTCACTCTCACTTTCCATAGTGAGGAAAGGCTTAAAGATTTGTTACTCCTTCTCAGGGCTTCTGTTATTTTCCAGTATCACAATTAAGTGTCTCATTGTTATGGGCAACAGAATTCATTTGCCTAATTTTCCTTAAGTGATTCTTGTTTGGTTTCTGTTTTTAGAATAGGAATGGATGTGGGCACCTCGACTGGCCCATGAAGAACTTTTCTAATTAGCACAGGTCCCATTATTGAAAAGGAGTTACCATGCTGGCCTTCTTAAGTAGGGTGTAGGTAGTAACAGCTAGCTTCCCTGTCCTAGAGAAACCTTGAGAACCATCAGTGAGGGGTTCCATGGCAAGTGCACTACTCAGGTGTTCTGGAATGGGGTGGGGGCATTTTTCAAGGCTCCTGCAGACGGCCCCAAACACAAGAGCAGATGCAGACAACCCAGGCTGGACGGCAGTGGCTCTCTCCTTCACTGCCTGTCTTCTCCTGCTGGACCTCCTCCTTCCTGTCCTTGCTTCCCTCACTCCTAAGGGCAAGACGATAAGAAACTGAGTCATCATTTCTGCTATTATCGCTCCCCTGCACAGGTCCTGTCTGTACTAAGATTCAGACAACAGTGGTGGGCCTAGCCAGAGACGTGAGCTTAACTGCAGAGGAGGGAGACATCAACTGGGAGCTGTACATGGAGCAGCAAGCCTCTTTCCCCGGGTCTAGTAGATCTGCAAACGTGTGTGGGACACCAGGGCTCTTCTGGAGAAGTTCTGAGTCAGCTGGTCTGGGTTGGTGCTCAGAATGTGTTTGCTAAAAAGCCCCCGAGGTCACAGTCATCTCCTGGTAAGATGGGAATTGCTTCGACTCTGGTGCTGCCGCCACCATGCTTTGTACTTCCTAAGGAACTGTGTGGGAGCGTGAACAGCGATGTCACTGTCCAGGATTCAGGAGAAGGAAGTCCACATACTCTAAGGAAATCCTGATGGCTCCAGGGCTGCAGGGAATCCTCAAGAACACATAAAGCTAGGCCTTTTCTCACTAGTGAGTTACTCTTATGACCCGCCACCTGGGAGAGCTCTCTCCTATAGGTCTTTCTTATTTCTAGGAGCAGCACCTTCAACCTTTTTCTGTTTGTTCGTTTGTTTTGTTTTGTTTTGTTTCCTGAGATAGGGTTTCTCTGTGTAACAGCTCTAGCTATCCAGAAACTGGTTTTGTAGACCAAGGTGGCCTCAAACTCACAGATCTGCCTGCCTCTGCTTCCTGAGTGCTGGGATTAAAGGCATATGCCACCATGCCCAGCAACCTTAAACTTTCCAATGGCCCTAGATTTTTGAAGGTTGAGGCCCAGCCCACTGGGTGTGATCAGCCTTCAGAGATGAAAATCCCTGGGGCTGAGGTTTGAGAACCCGAAGATAACTAAGATGTGCCCACTGATGCCAAGTAATCCATCCAGCTGTTTAAACCGGAGACGGACACAAAGACAGCTCACTGTACTAGAACTTGGACAAGAGCCTGAGAGGGTATGAAGAGAGGGCTGCAGATCATGGACGAGTAAATGTCTAAGCTTACGTGAAAGTAGAGGGAATAGTTGAGGGCCAAGTGTTGAGGAACAGATGAGTAGGTCTGGGAGTTGCATCTCCATGGTAACACTTGCCTGGCATGCATGAGGCCCTGGGCTCTCCCCCCAGCACCGCAAAGAAAACAAACCAAGAATTACCAGATAGATGGGGGCAAAAGGAAAAGCCACTTCGGGTTTGAGCTGATACACGTCGCATTTTCTTTCAGGAAAATCCCTCCCTCCCTCTCTCCCTCACTTCATCGGAATCTTGCTTAGAGTCAAGTCCCCCATGGTGGCATGCGGTCCAGGCCTCCCAGTCAGAACTACTCCCTTCCTGAGGCACTAAGGCCCCCAAAGCCTGGTGGAGCAGGGGTCCCTTTGGGGGTATTGCTTATGCTGTGAGAAAGGCGTTCCCCCCTTCTGTGGAATTTGTGGTGTAAGGATGGCCACTGAAGGCTGTCAGCAGCTGAGGCACTACCAATGGATGCTTTTTTGTTGAGTCACTGAGACTTTAACCATTCGAGTGATGCAAGCAGATGTGTGTTTGGAATGTGATGCTGGAGTCTGGGTGAAGGAATGCCCGGATTAACAGAGACCGAACCCTGGAATCCAGGGAGAAAGCTGCTCGGACAGGCTGGTACAAGGCCTCTAGCCCTCACAGATCCCCAAGAGCAAGAAGAGGCAGCTCTGAGAGATGTTTAGGAGATGGAAAAGACAGAGCACTTGGACTGGGTGTGGCAGGGGAAGAAAGAGGTCATCAGGGCTGGCTCTGAATTCAGGCACACCCACATTTGGACTCCGCTTGGTACTCCTAATGGCTGTGGGATCCTATTCAACTTCTTTAAGCCTTGGCTTCTGCGTCTACATCCAGGCAGGGATAACATTGCACACTTAATGGGCTGTAGGAGGATGAGATGAAGCAAGGAGAGACAAAAACATGTAGTACAGAAATGAGCACCAGGTACCAATATATAACCACTCTTTCATTGAGAGTGAAGATGGAAAAATTAAAGATGACTCTGATGTTCTCTCCCTGAGAATCTGAGCAAAGGCTGATGGAATTAACTGGCGTAAGAAGTTCAGGAAGTTTACTGGAAAAGGAGAGTATAAGTTTGTTTTGAGGCATCTTGAGTCTTATAGGCCCTTAGGACTTGCGGGGAGGGGTGTCCAGCACTCCATGAGGCTCAGACTCAAGGTTTGGTGGACACTGGCCAATAGAAGGTCATTGAAACAATGGCAGATGGGAGAAAGTTGAGGATGCTGTGCACTGAGAGGGAGGAGGGGAGAGCCAAAGGAATCATGAAGTTAGCAAGATGCAAGGAAGTCTTCATGCAAGTGTAGAGGATCCTCCAGAGAAGAGGACCTGTGGGACGGCCATGACACTCTTACTTTTTCATGGGAAAGATGAAAGACCAAAGCCAACCCCAGTTGACTGGCTAACAGATCTCTAGCCTTACCCATGAGATTATCTTTAAGAGGCTCACTATGGTCCTCAAGTGGATTGATGCCTCTTACCTCCAGGTATTGATTAGCCAGGCGTAGGAAGCGGTCTGTGATGTTAAATACATCCCTCCAGTCAAAGTTGGTCATGCCATCAGGCTGGCTCTCTCGTAGACCGCTACGGAAGAAGTTTAATATGGCTTCAGTGGTAATACCTTCTTCTGCAAGCTGCCTATTTATGAAGTCTTTTACTGTTGGGTGTTCCAGGGTATCCTTGGGAAGAAGAAACATAGTCATATAAATTAAGAATTCTGTAGGCTCTTTGATCTTATTCTTAGAGCATTTCAGATTTTTAATGACTAGTGATTGAGACACTAAGGCTCACTAGCTAGTAGGTTTTCCTCCCATTACAAGGCATATGTATGCCTATCATTTTCTTCAAACACAAGGGCCTCTAGAATAGAGGAGAGACAAGATGGAGTGTGGGAAGGCTATTAGTGAGCACGTAAAATGATATAGAAGATTTCCATTGGATGGCTGTCTGTTTTGTTCTCATTTTAATTTCCCTGATATCGAGAACTCTTGCCTCTTGGCTTTCCAAAGTTGCAAATGAGGCCATACAGACAGAAGTGGCCATCTTGGTAGTATAGAGCTGGCCTCTTCAGGAGATACCCTTTTGAACCTGAGACCTTCAAGTGAATTCATGGGAAAGATACTGCTCTTGTGGCAACTTTTAAATGCCCCCAGAATTTAGGACACATATTCCCCACCCAGTGCCAGTGACTCCACTTGGTCACAGTCTGAGGACTAGTGCTTGGGGTTCTGCTTGCTTTGGATTGATCTCACTCAGGTAGTAATGAGGTATCTCTACAGCCCTTCTCCTTCCCCATCCTATGACGTGAGCATCCTTACTCTGATCATGGTCATCTGTGTGCTCTTTTCAAAGAAGTACCAGATCTGGGGCCCCACTTCTCCCCAGGCTTTGGCCAGCTTCCTAACTCGATCCAGTTCTTCAAAAGTTGAGTTGGCCTAAAAAGACACACAGAAGGAAAACAGAAGGGAATGTAAGAGAGAACCTTTAGTTCTATCTTCTGCCCTCGTCTAAACCTTAATGTTTGGGCAAGGTTCCCGCTCCCCCTCCTCTTTTTAGATTTATTATTGTATTTGTATTTTAAGTATATGGGTATTTTGTTTGCATGTATGTCTGGGTACCACGTGCATGCCTTGTACCCATGGAAGCCAGAAGAGAGTATCAGACCCCTTGGAAATAAAGTTACAGACAGTTGTGAGCTGCCATGTGGGTGCTGGGAATCAAACCCTGGTCCTCTGGAAGAGCAGCCGGTTCTCTTAACAGCTGAACCATCTGCCCAGCCCGCAGGCTCTTCTTGGAAATGCTTTTCCTTCCCTAGACTATTGCCATTTCTCAGACTCCAGGACTGACAGAATCCAGTTTGTTAGTTATCGCGGAGGTACATGTAACAGTGATGTTATTGTTTCCAAGTCTCATTAAGTTATATTTGGGTCCTAGTGAGCAAATATTCATCCTCCCCATCTTTGCCTGTTCTGGGAAGCCAGAGACCAGAGAACGGCGAATATTTCCACTAGGGATATAAGTCACAGAGTGGGAAAGAAAACTCCATTGCAGACTGCTTCAGAGAGGGTGGGCCCCACAGGGGCACCAGAGGGAGGCATTCCTACCATGACTGTGCATGATTGTGCATTCCTAAATGGAGGAATCCATTTAGGAAAAACTAGCAGGGGAGCCATTGGCAGGAGCATATTTAAACACATACACACACACACACACACACACACACACACACACCACACATACACACACGCACACCACACACATACACACACATGCACACACACACACCACACATACACACACATACACACACATGCGCACACACACACCACACACATACACACACACACCACACACACACACCACACATACACACACATGCATACACACACACACACCACACACACACACACCACACACACACACACACCACACACACACACACACACACACACACCACACACACACACCACACACACACACCACACACACACACCACACACACACCACTGTCTTCTGGGAGGTCCGAGACATAAAGAAACTAGACCATCTGGGATCTTACATTCTTCAGTAGCCTTCGAACAGCCGGGGAATCAGGAGTAAAGAGGATTTTTCCCATCAGCAATGGCTTAGCTGCCCTCCAGGCTATTTTGGTTAAAGGGTTTGACTCCAGGCTCTGGATCAACGCGTTACAAAAGGATGCTGTCAAGAGAAAGGGACACATTTTTCAAAACTCCCCACTGCTCATAACTGAACGTAGTCATTAGTGCATCAAATCACATGTCTCGCTCCCATTCAATGCCACACTGGAGGGTTTGAGAAGTAATCTAAATTATTAGGCTGGACCCCACTAATAACAAGCTCATCATTAGTGACAGAATGCCACAATGCCCCTTGATAATAGCCTCCACAGTGTGACAAAGGATGGGGTTTGTCCTGTGGCTTATTCCGCTTGAAAGAAAGAGTTGAGAGGCCTGCTTGTGATCTTTGCGAGAGCCCGAAGGGAATGAAAGTCCAAAACAAGCTTCCCCACATCGGAATCTCAGCTTTAGTCTCAACTAATTCGGTGTCTATTAACTGCTTCTCTTCTTTGTCGTATGCAACTGTCTCAGAGCCCACCTCCTTGTGTTGTGTCGTTTGCTGTCTTTTTGTGACTCCAGAGCCTACCCTACCCCAAAACTGTACAAGTGAAGCAGATGACTTGCCAGGGCCCCATTGACCTGAGCTAGGTTGTAAATCTGAGTCCTCTCCTCATCCATCACTCTTCTGTTCCTCTGGAGCTTAGCCCCAGTCAGTCACATCAGTGGAAAATGCCCCCTCTCTTCCCTTTCCAAGTGGGCTTGGGTGCTTCCTGTGGCTCACATCCAGTCTTCTCCGAGCACTGCTCTCCTCTACAAGGGAAGGGAGACTTTCTGGGAGAAATCCACTTACCCAAGGCCACCAAGAGCGAGGGCAATCAGTCCCAGGACTGGTTTCTTAGAAGGGCTAACCCATCACTTTCCGTATTAGTGTGCAATGTGTGTGTGCAAGTGTGCATGCACATGTATGCATAAGTACGGAGGTCATAGGATAACCTAAGGTGTGCCGCTGTCCACCTCTTTTAATCACTAGCTTGACACTTGGTAAGTAGGCTAAGCCACTGGCCAGCAACCCCCCAGTATCTTCTTGTCTCAGCCTCTTCAGTGCCATGATTACAAGTGGGCACCATCATGCCTGGCTTTGTGTGTGTGTGCGTGTGCGTGTGCGTGTGTGTGTGTGTGTGTGTGTGTGTTCTAGGGACTGTACTTGGGTCCTTGTGCTTATGTAGCAAGAACTTTACCAGCTGAGCCATCTGCCCAGCCTTCCCACATCCCAACCCATCATCCGAACCAACACCAGAGGCCAACTGGCCTGTAGGACTCAGAGAACTTACTCGCTCTTTTGTCATAAGAATAGGCGGGATCTTTCCTTGTGGAATCGATCCCCAGGAAGGCTTTATAGTTGTTGTCTTCGTACCAGTTAAAGGAGAACACCCGAGAGCCTCCTCCTTCTGGGTAGCCACACAGGAGGTCAGACAGGATGCCCATCAGCTGGGTGAAGGTCTCGGGACCACTGTTCTGCAGAACAGGTCTGGTTACCCATAGCAAGTCTTGAACACTTGGCCGATGAATAAACTAGAAAAAGAGAAAGACTTTGAATAATCTTTTTTTTTTAATTTATTTTATTTCACATACATTGGTAGGGTTTTTTGGTTTGCTTTTGTTTTTGTTTTTGTTTAATTTTAATTTTATTTTAAGTGCGTTGGTGTTTTGCCTGCATTCAAGTCTGTGTGAGCGTATTGGATCCCCTGGAACTAAAGTTAGACAGTTGTGAGCCGCCATGTGGATGCTGGGAGTTGAGCCTGGGTCTTCTGGAAGAACAGCCAGTGCTCTTAAATGCTGAGCCTTCACTGCAGCCCTGACTTTGAATAATCTTCAAACAGACAGAACCAAGGCTTGCTCATGTGTGTGTTTGATTTCCACATTTAAAGGGAAACATATTCCCTTTAATCTCAGCAATTCTTAATCCAGCTGTAGAAAACAAAACAAAACAACACCTGCCGTCATCTATCTAGGGACAAACAAGAACACAAAACATGTTAACTAACATCGTCTGCTTTCCTTTGTTTGGGTTCCTTGGGATTGTGTCTTTGGGAAAATGCAGATTCTATATCATTATAAACTAGTTGTTATTCCATCAAGATGGAGACACTGGAAAAAGGTGGGAAATAAAATAATGGAGAAATGTCTGTGTTTTGGAAATGTAAAGTCAAGGCAAATTTCTGTGATTAAAAAGTTTAGAATTTGGTGTTCTATATTTGGAAAATAATCTTTTTAGATTTACTTTTACTTGTGTGTGTGTGTGTGTGTGTGTGTGTGTGTCTGTCTGTCTGTCTGTCTGTGCACATATATATGCATGTAGAAGACCATAGAGGCTAAAAGGGGCTGTCCTGGAGCTGGGATTACAGGTAGTTGGGAACTGCCATGTGGATGCTAGGAACTGATCTCTAGTCCTCTTTGAGAGCAGTAAGTGCTCTTAACCACTGAGCCACCTCTCCAGTCCTCAAAACGTCTTTTTTTTTAAAAAAAATTTATTTATTTATCATATATACAATGTTCTGCTTGCGTATATTCCTTCAGGCCAGAAGAGGGAGCCAGATCTCATTACAGATGGTTGTGAGCCACCATGTGGTTGCTGGGAATTGAACTCAGGACCTCTGGAAGAGCAGCCAGTGCTCTTAACCTCTGAGCCATCTCTCCAGCCCCAAAACATCTTCTTACTAACTTAATTTTATCACATGTGAGCTCTTCCATTCAACTGAATGGTGTGGCTTGTTCTCTCCCCTCCCCGCAACCCCTGTGTGTGTGTGTGTGTGTGTGTGTGTGTGTGTGTGTATATGTGTATGTTTTAAGATCCAAGCAAATGCCGGGCAGTGGTGGCCCACGCCTTTAATCCCAGCACTCGGGAGACAGAGCCAAGGTGGATCTCTGTGAGTTCAAGGCCAGCCTGGTCTACAGAGGGAGATCCAGGACAGGCACCAAAACTACACAGAGAAACCCTGTCTCAAACAAACAAACAAACAAACAAAAAAGATTCAAGCAAAGAGCAGGGTGTGGTGGCGCACACTCCTTTAATTCCAGTACTTGGGAACCAGCCTGTTCTATGAATCGAGTTCCAGGACAGCCAAGGCGACACAGGGAAATCCTGTCTTCAAAAACAAACAAACAAAGTTCAAGCAAAGAACAGAAGATGTCTCACTTATGGAAGAAAATACCAAATTCTACGTCAACTAAGAGGGGCCTGGCGTCCCTTCTCTTCTGTATGGTGTCATGGTACTTGTGGCTTCATCCTTGAAAGGTAGATCTGTGATGCTGAGAACTAGGCTGGGAGACACTGGCAAAAAAGGCACCAGTATCCTGGTCCCATAAGGCCACGTGGCTTTATTTTAGGGAAAATATAAAGTAAAAACAAGGCTGTGTTTATTCCCTAACCACACCTTACTATTCACGTTCTAAGGAATTTGGAAATTAAAAAAAAAAACCATTAGGATTCACCCAGGCATGACGGAAAACATTCTCCCACTTCTGTTAGTGATGTTGACCTGTGGACTCTCTCTTTGTACACATGCCAACACTTGCTTTCCGAAACTGATGAGCACCGTGTGGAATCCGCACGGTGAGTCAACGTTTATAATCACAGTCTATGCCTCAGTGAGAAAGTCAGAATCTTAAATTGCTTCAACAACAGTGGGTCTTATGACCAGAGGGTTATTATCATGATTATATTGCTCATTTAATCAAAGCACTCAGAAATGAAGGGCTGTGTTGGGGTCAAGTGGTCTGATATCAATTAATATAAACTGGGCCATGTGCTTTAGCCTGGTTCACAGATGCTTAGACCTGTTACCTAAGCAGGCCAGGGATGTTCTAGAGTGCCCACACAGAATCCAAAGTGTTGATGTGCCTTCGGAGGCTATTTACAGTCTCTGTGGACTTCACCGCCATTATAGGGATGTGAGTTTTAAAGTGCTATAAGGAGGAAAATGTTAGACTCCCGCAGCAGGTGGCCAGAAGTACAACGGCCCTTCTCTCGCTCTCCCTGACAAGCAGGGCTCCTGCTTTGCCCTGATTGAGTTTAATTTTATAAATACAGATTCCAAGCATGTTATTTTCCAAGTTGGCTGAGCCTAAGGCAGCTGGGAAAATCAAAGGGGAAAAGTCCAGGGAAAATCATATTTTCGGTTTCTCTTCCCCTTCCACAGCATTCATCACCCTTAAAGAGAGTTGCCTTTTTCATGCTTCTTGTCTTTGCGGACCATATACTCAAAAAGGCTTGTGACGGTGTCTGTCTATTCTCTTCCTATCTCCATTATCAATCAACTCTTAAGTGGAGGAATCAATTTCTATGTCTGAGAAGTCTTATACAAGCAGATAGTAATTAAATTGTGTGCATATTTCATAAAACAACACAAAAAAGTCACTCCGGAGGGATGAAGTGAATCTGTGAAGGTAAAGGGCTAAGAATCGCACCCATAAGCACCATATGCTTATTTGCTATTGTTACGGGTGGCGTATCGGTGACTGCATCACTCGGTACCAAAAACCTGACGCTCATTTGCGAGTCCACAAGGAATCATGCTACTGCAGACAAGCCGTGGGTTCCAGTGGTACTTAGGTCTTGATGTAGCATCACAAGGATGGTTGTTTTCTTTTCACCTCCTACTTAGGAGCGCAGATGGTTTAGAACATGAGCAGATGCCTTTAAACTGCTAGACAGGAAGAGCAAATGGATTTCTCCTTAAGAGGTGAGAGGTACAATTAAATTACTTGATATAGTAAGTGTGACTGAAATGGTGTAAAGACACAATAAAACTATAGTTAATGGCATTGGGCCTCTTACCTTTCGCATTCTTGGTGACATATCAGATAATATTCCTCCCCAAAATCTCAAGTTGATACCTTGAGAACTGCTGTCTAGGAGTGTGGGGAGCTGGAATCAACCGGAAAAAAAAAATTTTTTTTAAATGTGATTACAAGGTTGAGGAGATGGCTTAGTCAGCCACACAAGCATGAGAACACGAGTTTGCTCCCCAGCACCCACACAAAGTCCTGGTATGACGACACAGACATGTCACCCCAGGGCTGGGGAGCTAGAGACAGGGGAATCCTCGGGACTTGCTGTACAGCCAGTGTAGACAAATCCAGAGAGGCCTGTCTTGAAAATTAAGAGGAAGATACCTGATGTCAACCTCCAGCTCTACATGTATGTGCGCACAGACACATCTACACACACACACACACACACACACACACACACACACACACACACAGGCACTAGCTGATTTCGTATGTACTTGCAAGCCGTTCTTTACTTCCTAATAGGACTTCTGCAAGGTTGCCTTCAGAAACAAAATTCTTTTGCCCCAATCTAGAAGAATCAAAGGCTCCCGTTCCACGTTTCCCTGCCGAGCTCGTCAATCACGAACAGTCTCACGGTGACAGTGTATACACCAGAGTGATCCTGACTGCTGTTCTGGGACACCAGACGGGACTCCCAGAGGAGGGGAAACAGCGCAGCTGGTGGAGTGTGAAGCCAGGCGGTGTGGAGGAGGCCCATCTGTTCACCTCCAGGCTCCGCAGGCCCTGCCAGGCTGCCGTCACTGCTCAAGTCTGTCCCCTTTGTGTTCTTGCTGGGCAGGCTGTCGCTCTTTCTCTGTTCACAAATACCCTCTTATGGAAGATTCCACCAAGTCCATCACTTTTCTTTGAAAGCTGCAGTTCACATGAGTGACAAGTTCCTCGGTCAAGTTCTCTAGCTGAGAGCAACATTTGGGTGGGGCTTACCCGGGGGGGGGGGGGGGGGGGACACAACTCAGAATAGTTTCAGTACTTTCCATCTTGATTGGGAATACCAAAGTCCTCAGTTTTGCTGCTCGCCAGCCTTAGAGCCTGATGCAAACACCTTGCACACCAAGTTCAAGTCCTGATCGACTTTATTGGTCACAGCTTCAGAATGGAACTGAACCACTGACAGCCTACCCGAAACAGTCTTTTAGGACTGAGTGCTAAGCGTTAAGACAATGGTTTTCAAATTCAAGGGAGCACCTCTCTCTAGCAGCAGTGGCCTGGAGAGAGGCCTTGGCAAAGCTTGTACTTCATCCTCGCTCAGGTATGTGTAGATCACAAGCCATGAGCCTCACCTCTTTCATTCTGTAGGGTGGTTATCCTGAATGAAGGCTGAACTGGTCTAGCTGCATCAAGAGCTGAGAAGCAGGTAGTTAACCATGCACCACTCGAGTTCCTAGCTCTGTCCTGTACCCTTGCCTTTCTTCCCATGGTAGGTATGCTTTCATGCCTTCTGCCCTCTGCTCTGACTGGGATGAAACACCCGTCTTACTGAGACTTCTTTTCAAATTACTTGTAAATAGCTTTAAGGGTAAAGGATGCTCAGCAGGTCACTTTAATTCCTGGTTTTGCTATAGGCTAATGGGGTGGAGTTCAGTAGGTAGGAAGAGAGGAAGGATGTAAATAGGTCAAATCACATGTCAGCGAATGCTCTCACTAATCTTGTCCATCTTCTCTCCTAAAGACTATGAAAGATAAGAAGGGACACATTATTATTATTGCTGTTGTTATTACTATTTGGATTTTTTGAGACAAGGTCTACATAGCCCTGGCTATCATGGAACTCACTATGTAGATCAAGCTCCTCTGACTCTACCTCCTGAGTGCTGGGATTATAAGCATGCACCATCACACACAGCTATCTTCCATTATTTTTAATGTATCTGCTTTCCACTAAATCAGTGGTTCTCAACCTGTGGGTCATGATCCCCTTGGGAGATCACATATCAGATATCCTACAATCAGATATTTACATTATGATTCATAACAGTAGCAAAATTATAGTTATGAAGTAGCAAGGAAAATAATTCTATGGTTGGAGGTCACCACAACATGAGGAACTGTATTAAAAGGCTGCTGCATTAAGAAGGTTGAGAATCGCCGGGCGGTAGTGGTGCACGCCTTTAATCCCAGCACTTGGGAGGCAGAGACAGGTGGATCTCTGTGAGTTCGAGGCCAGCCTGGGCTACCAAGTGAGTTCCAGGAAAGGCGCAAAGCTACACAGAGAAAACCTGTCTCGAAAAACCAAAAAAAAAAGAAGGTTGAGAATCACTCACTACATTAGATTATGAACTCCTTAAGCATAGCACCAGGCTTTATTTTTATATCTTCAGGGCAGGTACCCATGAGCCATGGATATGCGTTGTGTTAATGATCAGTAGACTAATCTTGTAGCAAAGAGACAGAGTCTCCTGGGGTTTTAGGTTCCATGAGTGGGGTCTCTGCCAGAAAGGGAGTAATCAGCCCCACTGCTAGGGACTAGGCCGGTGACACTTGAGTTGATAAAGGGATGAGGTGGTTGCAAGGATGAAGGCAGTGGTATCTGTGCACAGAAGGGTGTAGGGAGTCTGGAATTCCAGGTGGAGAGAGGAATGTGAAGTCAGACACCGAGAATCAGCCTGGCTAGAGAGCCAGATTAAAAACAAGGTTAGGAATCTGGGGTGAGCAAGCCTGGAGCCAGGGCGTTAGATGCCTTTCTGTGTCTGGTCAACACTTCCCTTTTGGATCTCGCTAACAATTGGATAATATCTATCTATCATACACTTGCTAAGCCCCAGTGTGTGCTTGGTGTCCTAGCTACATTTCCTTTCCTGGTTCTTTGCCATGGGGATGATAAATAACGAAGGACATGTGTTTTGGAGAAGCCATCTACAACTCAGAACAGGGCCTGCCTCCCAGGAAGGCCCACTCTGTATCTGCTCACCAGCTTTTTAATTGATGTCGCTATAAATTATAAAAAACTTCCTCGGGGCTCACTTCTTTGAATTCCCTCCCCATTATCAATTCCAGTTCATAAGACCTGTTCTTGCCCAAAGAGCCAGAAGAGGCTGTAACTTGATTTGAATGGAAATGTGGAAACATTTCTAGAAAAAAGGGCCAGGGACTAAAATGGCAAATAATACTATTACACACATCCCAGACTCCTGTGTCAGCAAGTTCTCTTACTATTTGTTTTAAATAACAAAGAACTTTATGTTATAATTGGGTTTGGGACTGATCACTTGAGTTCAAGGCCAAATTGGACTTAAGGAAGACTGGTTATACAAAGAGGGTTGTGGCAGTATATGTCTTCATTAACTGTGGTTGGTCTAAGTGGCCCCTGAGCAGTGAACCCCTACTTAAGCAATATAAGGTCCTCATAGGGGGCTCCTGAGAACTCTGTTAAGATTCTTGGAGGACCAAATATATTCCTTTCCCTTGGAGCATGCAATCTGTATACCAGCGTGAAATAACAGCATTAACAGTTCCCTAAACGTCTTGATGGGATTTACTGATTCAGTAGCTGTCACTGCATCAGCACATGAAAGGAGTGGCCTATGATTGATGGTTTTTTTTCCTAACTCAAAGGAGCCAATCTGGAAACAATATTCATTTCTTTTTTTGTTTGTTTTTGGAGACAGGGTTTCTCTGTGTAGCCCTAGCTGTCCTGGATCAGCCCTACAGACCAGGCTAACTTCAAACTCACAGAGATCCACCTGCCTCTGCCTCCCAAGTGCTGGAATGAAAGGCATGTGCAATATTCATTTCTAAGTTGAAGACATACCCAACACATAGTATATGGTGAGGTAGCATCAGGTTAAAAATGCCTTTATGAGGATAACATGGTTTCTGGGAACCACTGAAGATTCTGGAGTCAGGGGTGGGTAGCTTGTCTTGAAAGCATCTAGACCAGAAGTTGGGGGCAAGTGAAGCCGTGGACAGACAGCCCCGGCCTGTTAGGTTCCTTTCCCAGCAGCTGCTACAGGAAGCCCAGGTTTATCCGGGAGGGAAGTTGTTGCTGGGTAACTGGAAGACTGTGGACTTAAAGCATGTTTGTTGCGGCCTGACAGTTGTTAAGCATGGGATAAAAAGAGAGGAAGCTGCTTTGGTGGTGAGGGGGCAACCAGGAGAGGCGCCCTGCATGCTAGGAAATGCGTCATGAGTGGAGAATTCAGAGTCATGAGTGGAGAATTCAGACTCAGTCACAGGAGGGTGCGGGGACATGCCAAACTGTCTCTACTGGGAGAGGTCATCCAGACGTGCTGTCTCCTGGCACTGGAAGGAACGGTGTCTGAAGGTCGGAAGCAGAGTGTGGGCTCTGGGGTATGTGAGCTGACGAGTTACAGAGTTGTCTTTAGTGCAACAGAAGCTAAGGCCTCGTCCCCTCCTGAGGACTTCTGTTCTAGTGTCTGTTTCTGATGAAGCAGAACTGAGCTCGGAATCCAGGGGGCAGTGAAAGGGCATTTCGTGAGACAGTTTCCTCTGGTCGCTGGGGTCTGAGGAAGGAGCGGAGGGGCCACTGCAGAGCAGAGTGTGTTCTCCTCTGCCACCTCCCATTTTCTGTGTGTGTGTGTGTGTGTGTGTGTGTGTGTGTGTGTGTGTGTACGCACATGTGTGTGCATGTGCACAAGTATGTACAAGCCAGAGGGCAATATTGGGGGGATTTATTAAGGCAACTCCACATGGTTCAAAAGGACCTCAGGGGTCATTCCTCAGGTACCGTTCACCCTTTGATTAATTAATTAACTAATTAATTTTAAAATTTGAGACAGGGTCTTGACCTGGCCTGGAGCATGCTAGGCTGGCTGGCCAGTGATCCCTAGGAATACACTTTTCTCTGCCTCCCTAGTGCAGGGATTTATGAGCATGCTTCATCATTTCTGGCTTTTTTACATGGGTTCTAGGTATCGAACACAAGCCCTCATATTCGTGGGCCAAACACTTTACCGACTGAACTAGCTCCCCAGCCCACGACTTCACTTTGGTATAGGCAAAACGTCTTTGGTTTCAAAGTGTATTTCCTATCCTTTCTCTAATACGAATTTCACTGAAATCCCATGACATGTGTAGAATGGGTCATAGTTGTCAATTTTACGAATGAGGAAG